ATATATATATATATATATATATATATATATATATATATATATATATACATACAGTAATATTTTACAAGTGTGCCTAAAACGTTTATTTCCTTTAGTTATTGAGTTTTTATTATCGATATGTTGGATTTGAAACCAAACAGACGCCTCGAGACAAAACAAGTAAAATAAAAAAGCCACTCGCCGATGCTGTCTTACATTTTATTGTGACGGGGAGTCATAAAATGGAGCAAACCTAAAAAAAAAAAAAAGAAAACGTTACAAAAAGACAGTGGATTTACAAAGGGCTGTGGAGACGAACGTTACGCGGCCTTCAACGGTACAACGGAAAGTCCAAAGTTGGCACAGAACAGAAGACGGGGCGGCGGGACGATTTGGCTTCAAAACATAAAAAAAGGAGGAAAAATAAAAACATTTCATAACAACATCCTTCATTAAAACGGTGACGACTCATGCGTTTAAAATCACAGAATTCAGTAGCTTAATAACAACGCAAAGATGCACATGTAACATTTCTCACTTCATTCCTCGGTTTTTTCTTCTAAAAACAGTCAAGTTTACAGAGTACACATTTTATTTAATTGTTTTTTTTTTTCATGTTTTTATTTTGTTAAAACAAACTTGAGCTCCCAGAACCACATTTTGGGATTTTACGTTTGTCTCAAGATTTTTTTTTTCTTTTTCATACTAAAATATATTATTGTATCAATCCAAACTACAGTAATGTACACTACAATGTGTAATAAATAACCATAAAAGAAAAAGAAAAAAAAACATATAAAAATAAGACACATAAATATAAAAAAAAGTACTCTAAAAACTAAACCGGAATTTATTTTTTTTTTCAGTGAAAAGGGCTTTAATACTGCCATTACTGACAAAAACATAGAGGACATGTAAAAAGGAAAGGGAGAAAAAGTCAAATAAAATAAACACTGTTCGGTAAAAACCAACTCGAAACTCTTCAGGCGTCACATTTTCTAACGTTTGTCACTTGAAGTGCGGGACAGCTCATCACAGTCACTTTTATTTCATTAACAAGTGCACGAGTGAGACTGAGGAGATTTTACGTAAAGTTACGAACATTTTTTGGTTTTATCTCATGAGCAGCAGCTTTATCAACTTAACCTGAAAGTTTTTATTATCAGTTCTGTTAAAAAACCTCAAGTTTAGTGAATAAATGTACATTTTAGTTTCACCCATTAATGTAAAGTGTTTATGCTTCGTGTTTAGTTCCTGCCTCCGTTATTTTCATGTCCGTGTTTAAACCCCTGAAACACAAGCAGAGAAAGTAAAAGGCAAAGAAACGCTGAAATTAGATTGAATTTGAAAGCTGCATCCTAATACAAGCATTAACAGCTTGAATGTAATACTCTAAATTAAAATTGTAACGAGGAGTTAGCTCCACCTGACGTCTCATTTTTCCTTGTGTTTTAGATTGTAATTTATTTTTGTGGCTGGAATTTACCGGAGTCCTAATGGAACTTAGCCTTGGCTACCTCGGGCACATTTATATTTAATTTGTTTACATATTGATGGTTTTACTTTGTGGAAAGAGGACAAAGGAGACGAATTAGATAAAAGGTTTACTACTCAACAACCATTTAAAATTATTAAAGTGGAATTTATAGGTCTTTATGTTTTAATTTTTAAATTGTATTTGTTTAAAGGGAAGACTTCTTGTTTCAGAGGTTTTTCCTGCGGTTCCTCTGGAAAATTTAAACTTTTAGTTGCAATTCACATTTAAATGTGAATTGTTCATGAACATGTTATATGTAAATAAATGTAGAGACTAGAAACTAAAAGTTTGGTTTTTTTTACTTTTTATTGGCATTTTCCAAAGAAAAGTGCACATTTACGTTGTATCAAGTCTGGGTTTATCCGAGGACTGAAATTTGGAGCAAATTATTTGGTTTTTCTTCAAATATTTGAACAATAGGTCATTAGAAAACAACATGGCGTGTCACTACAAAAGAAACATTTTGTGATTAGGGATGCACAATATTTTCGGCATGGTATCGGTATCGACCGATATTGGCGATAAAAGTTAAATATCGGACATCGACCATTCCATTAAAAAAACTTAATATAATAGGCTTGTGTTTTAAGTAAATTTTTAATTTAAGAAACTGTCAAGTATATCTGTTAATGCACTTTTACTTATGCGCTTTTCATTTGTCGCTTGTGAACAGGTTGAGTTTAGATTTGTGAAAATTTACAAATTTGCACTGTTCGAGTGTGGTCTTTGTGTTAAAATGTCATGAATAAATTTGACATTAAACGTAACCCAAGTTGAAGTGTTACATCATGTTCAGCGCACTTTTTGAAAGAAAAAAAAAAAATATATATATATATATATTGGTAATTGTATTGGTTATCGGCCAAATAAGTTGTAACATATCGGCCAAAAACCCAACATCATGCATCCCTATTTGTGACGATTACGATTATTCTAATTGTCTTGTTTTAACTAATCTTCAAACCATCAAAACTCCCTGGTTTATTTATCATGAATTTGCTGTTTATTTGCATTTAATTTAAATTCTTGTCAGGATTCAAAGTCTAAAATTAGTTAACCATTTTGGGTTTAAAAAGCTAGCATAAACATGCAGACTGATCCGGAGAGAAGATATTTATTTAGTCAAGCCTTCATGCAGTTTCAAGTTAAATATTTTGCACAAAGTTTAAAATTTAGTTTCAGTCGCAAAAAAATAAAAATAAAAAACTGTGACAACTCTGCTGATTTGTGCAAGTGAACAAACATTATTCAATGTGGTTCCTGTGCGAGTCTGAGAGGAACATAATACTGGCTACACGTGAAGAAATAACACTGTTCAATGGCACTTTTAACAGCACACAGGTCTTGCATAAGGCTGGAGGCATTGGGGTGGAGCAGGAAACCGCCCTGATCCTTCACATACAGTGAGACTTCATATATGAGCTAATAATACTGAAACACTGAACCGAAACGAGGACGAGCCCGGTAGGATTGTGTGTTTTGGACCAGAAGCCTGGAGGCCAGAATCCGCACTAGAGACCCCCACCCGTTCAAGCTGCGCTGGGTAGCAAAACAAGAGCGCCTGACGCTGGCTTTGAGGTTGTGACCATTCCTTCCCTGATAGGACTAATTTGGTTATGGCAAAAAGAAGCCGCCTTCTGCCCCCCCTCGTCCCGCCCACAACCCTCCCCCAGGAATACTTTGTTTTCCTTAAGGCTAACAGTCAATGAAAACAAAACCCATGCTAGCTAGCAAAGACTAATACTAGCACAAACATCTTGCTAGCTAGTGTACACACATAACACTGAAGGGCTTACGATGCATGAGGCATGTATCCGTAGGTAAACTAGGAATACTGTAGTGCAGAGGTTTTTGTTCGTAGAACTCAATAAAATACTGATTTAGGAAACTTCATTGGCAATAAAAAGGTATAGAAATCTTTCTCTTTACAGGTTAAAATGTTTTCAAACTAGAACGAGGTTAGTAACACTGACTGGCTGAGCGAGAAGAAATGAAACGACCAGGGAAAGTCTCAGTAACGAGTCGAACATGTTCGTGGATGGGTACTACTTCAAAATCTGTACTTCTATAAACAGGTTTAAACACTAATAGTTCATTTCTCACAAATAAAAGTCACCTTTTTTTCTCTTTTAAGTTCAGGCACACCGGGGTTTTTGTACACAGTAGTGGACCGTTAAGATTAGGCAACTTCCGATACTTGCTTCTGAAGCGGTTTTGTCTTTTTAAAAAAAAGTTTTGATGGCCAACAAATACAAAACGTTGCTTCCTTCATTTGTTTGTCACCGCTTCCTGCGATGGTCGGGCGCTGTCGGAACCCTCCCTGACGTCGTCGTCCGTATCTGCTTCACAGTCTGCCATTTTCTCCGCTGCTTTCTCCTTTTCGTCGTGTTTTCTCTCCGACGTGCTGCCGTCCATGTGATTATCCCCCAACTCAACCTCTACCACATCGCAAGCGAACTCCGCTTGTGCGCTCACGTGTTGAGTTTCTTCATCTGCCAAAACCTCCTCCTCTTCGTCCTCGTCATCAAAGTTGCCTTCGTAGATCTCGCACTCGCCGTCGTCCACCTGCACCACCCGGATGTCGTCCATGCACATGGCCTCCTCGTCCTCGTCTATCTCTTCCTCGCTGTCCCTCTCGTCTGAGTCCATTTGAGAAGGGGGGGTGGTGGTCCGGCTGTCTGACTGGGGGCCAACGCCGGGACTGCCCAGCTCAAGCAGGACCCTGCGTGGTCCCACAGCGGAGCCCGGGTTGGACCCGTCCTTCTTGCAGTAGGAGTAGCGGTGGTTCATGTGCTGGGAGTAGGAGCCCGAGTGAGAGAAACGCTTCCCGCACTTGTCACACTGGTAGGGTTTCTCACCGGAGTGCAGCCTCGAGTGTTCGATCAGGTGGTGTTTGTGTTTGAAAGCCTTGTTGCAGATGGTGCATTCATGGGGCCGCTTTCCTGCAGGCAAAACACCACAACATGAGACGTGAAGAGACTCAGACTGGACTCTAATTAAAAGCCATTAAAGGGGTGAGTTTACTGCACCGAGCTGTAGAGGTGAGACAGTTAAATTAGAAGAATCTCAGGCCCTGGCCAAGTTAATCATGACACAACATTCATTAAACTCCTCTGGTAAGGATAAAGGTGCTTCATTATAATGAATTTAAAAGTCATCCATGATGAGTTAGGAATACGTTTGTACAGTTAAAAGCCAGGAGTCTCATTATAAAGTGTAAAGTGCAGCATAATAAATGATCTAACATAAAAAAAACTGCCTTGTTCTTCTGCATCAAAGAAGAGGAAAGAAAAAGCAAAACTACAAAAAAGAATGCACGTTTTCAGATTTAGTAAAATAAATAAGTTTCAAAACACCCAGGAACAGTTTTAACACATCAGTGATTTGGCAGATTGATGATTAATTTAATTAATTTTAATAAAACAACATTCAGGCCAAAAAAAAAAAAAAGTGTTTTCATAAATCTGGAGTCCCAACAGGCCAGGTAAATCTGAGGCATTTAAAAACTCAAGTAAATGGTAAATGGACTGTACTTATATAGTTCCTTTCTATCTGATCTAGACACTCAAAGTGCTTCACAACACAATCTGTGCCCTCAATGACCCATTCATACAGCACTCTACTAGATCTCTACAAAGAATAATCAGAGCGTTATCACATTCATACACCGATGGGACACACAACGGCAATGAGGGGTTCAGTGTCTTGCCCAGGGACACTTCGGCATGTGACTGCTGGTGGAATCGAACCCACAACTCTCGTATTGGAGGATGACTGCTTTAACCACTCAGCCACAGCTGCCCAGATGTCAACATTATGTGACTAAGATCAGCACACCGCTGGGTCAACGACACGCACAGCTCCATGGATCATTTGAGCCGTACAGAAATGTTCTTTTCATAAATAAACTGATAAACTAAAATTTTTAATCCATTTCTCTGTAGTATATTTTATAAAGAAAAAAAAATCACTTGTTCCTGCACTTGACTCAGTCACAACAATTTTTTCACATCCTAGCAAACCTACAAGCTAATCTTAGCTCAAATGAATAAAAACAGACTTTGTTGGAGGACTTTAGTCGGGGGTAATGTTTATGAACTGGTCCGTGATATTAAAAAAAGTTGGGGAGCACTGCTTTACATAGCTCTGTGTTTCCCCTACCGTTATACATTTATATTTGATTTTAATTTTATTGTTGTGTCTGTGCTTTATTTGACTGTTTAAATCAGGTCTCTGTTGAAAATTAGTCCTCGTGACTCAATGAGACTAACCTGTGTAAATAAAGATTGAATGAATTACAATCAGAGCGGCCCGTCCTGTCAACAGAACCGAGCACCCTGCCTACCAAACCGAACCCCCCCACCTCCTCCCATAGACAACTGCCGGCACTGACGTAGCGCTAAGCTAGCAGCGTGCAATACTACGACGGAGCTTTAGGGTCACGCTCAGAAAAAAAAAATTACATTGCGAGCAAAATGTCATAAAATTACGAGAATAAAGTCATAATATTACAAGAATAAAGTAATAATGTTATGAGAATAAAGTCATAATATTACGACAACAAATTTGTAATATTACAAGAATAAACTCGTAATACGTCCTGGGTTAGCTCACTCCTGCTGTGGACAGCCTCCAATGTGAGTCACTGTGTTTATGAAGTAGTCCACAATCACTTTGGGTCACTGTTTGTGAAATATGCCTCCGTCCACATTATGTCACGACTAAATCCATCAATACAGCCATTAATTGAAATTTTAATTCATTCATTCATTCAACCTTTATTTAAACAGATAAATCACATTGAGCCTCAAAGACTCATTTACAAGTGAGACCTGTTTGGACAGACAAAAAAGTGGTAAACTGGACACATGTAGGAATTGGAGGCGAAAAAAATTCCTATCAGACATTTTTTTTTCCTGCCTGAGAAAAAAAAACAGATATTAAAAAACACCTAGCACAAACAAGCACATAGTGACGTAGACATTCTGCAGAGGGGGGAGACGAGAGCGGTCAGCAATGTTCATAGACGCTCTCGAGGACACTGTTAAGGCTCCAGTATACTGCCGCGTACGTCCGTTCACGCGTACGTACGCGTGTACGGTACGCAGAGGGTTCAGACATGATACTCTAGCGTACACCCTGAGCAGCTGCAGAGCAGCTTCACAGACAAGGGGCGTTTACCTTCGGGGCAAATTGAGGTCGCCGATTGGTCATTTGCTGACACGCCTACTGGATTGATTGACAGGCCGGAAAAAAGAGAAAAAAGCGAGCGCTGGCAGCCTCCGCCGCAGCGGTGTTATGTGTTTATATGTTGTTAATAAAAAGATCTAAAAAATAAAAAAATTAAATCAGAGAGCGCTGGCTCTACAGCCCACACATCAGACCAGCCCACCAGGAAATCTCCAGACCCTCCCGCAGCCACGCTGGACCTGAGTTTAATTCGCTCGTGACAAATTCCTTCATTTCTCACCATTTCAGTCATGGCATCAACGGAGGAGGAAGAGATCACTGCCTCTTGGCAAAAAAACAAAAGAAAAGGCCAGATCAGGGATGAAGAAGGGGAATTTAATACATTGGTGTTGCATACAAAACAGTCCGTCGCTGGGCAGTTTATTGTGCGACACCGCGTACGCGTATGCGGTCGTAAAAATTTGAGCTTTGCACGGGCATGCCCTGGGGGGTACGCATGTACCTCTGCATACGTATGTGCGTACCTCTGCGTATGGATGTACGTGGAAGTGTACTGGGGGCTTAAGAGTTCTGATAAGAATGGAATAATCAGTCAATGTCCTCCGGTGAGATCCATAAACATTTTCGAGGTATGGCCAAGATTAACGTCTATGAGAATCCAAGAGTCCTGAAATGATAACACAAAGTTTATTCAGCTGGTTTCATCTGGTTATCAGTTGGAAATTCCTCAGGGAGGGGGTGGTGAGCGTCAGATCACATGTTCTCCAGGCGAATTCAGATAAGATGACCTTCAAGGCCAGCCAAGGGAGCCAAATTCAGATAAACACAGTTGTTTTGGGGACAGGCAGAACTTAATGACATCTACCTTGAGTCTGTGTTTGTCGAATCGGTTCTGAAATGTCCAAATTACATGGCCACACCGATGGAACGTGAAATCCCCAAGATCTGATCCATTCTGTCCAAAGAATTTGAGTCAGGGTACTCGAGACACAAACCAAGCCATCATAAAGGCAAGCAGCATGATTGGGTCCAAATTTGCTTCCGACGACTTCCTTGGTTGTAGATAAAACCAGCAACCAGCCGAATCCAAAAAGCAGAAACCAGTTATCGAAAATCCAATTCAATATGCTTCCTTAAAATCCACAGATGGCAGCCTAAAGCCTTTTTCTTAGAAGAAATGTTGTAAATTGAGTTGAGGGGCCAACTGATCAAAACAAGTCCATAATTATGGTTCAGAAGAAATGAAGAGAGGCTCAGAAGCAGTTTCACAGACAGAAAAAGCAGCAAAGCAAAGTGGAGAGGGAGGGGAGAAGCATCCGATCTTGGCGAGAGCTTCAGTTTATCATAAGAATCCATATGCCACAGTGCGTTGGACCCCCTGCTTTTATACTGCCAACGTCAACATTCATCATTCTACCGCAGCTGTAAGACGGATTTGTTTTCTCGGAGTTCTGATAATATTACAACTTAATTATGGTAACATTACAAGTTTATCATAATACCATGACTTCATTCTCATATTATTTTGACTTTATTCTCTTAATATTATGACTTTGTCATACGACTTTATTTTCGTTCGTAATGTAATTTTTTTTTTCTTAGCGTGGTCCTAAAGCTCCATTGTACAATAAAATACAGACGTGCTAAAAAGCTAGAGGTAGCCGGAGGTAGCACTCTGTTTCACTCACGCTGAGCCGTCTCCACCCCCCCCCCCCCCCCCCCCGGCTTGAAAACCGTTGATACAAACAGCTCGAAGCACAGATTCCATCTCCCGTCTACAAAAATCATTGAAGAGATGAACGCCCTGACAAGGCAAGTAAACTGTTAAGCTTCCTTCATACTTGATTTATAGTCATAGATTATTAGTTATAGATACTAAATGTGTGTGTGTGTGTGTTATGATGAACTGATAATACCTGTGTGTTCATATTTGTGTCTGAGCAGCGAGCTGCCCTTTTGGAAGACCTTGGAGCACAAATCACAGGGATAGACTCCGATTTCCATCCGCCGCCTCTTCGACTCCTGCTCCTCTGCAGTCAGGTTGCTGTCAGTGCTGCTCTCTGAACGTTTCTCTTGCTGTACACGAGAGAAAATGTCTAAATGCCCACAAAGGAAATGCAGTTCGTACATGAAATGGGTTTGAAGTGCAACAGAACCAACCTTATGGCCGTTCAGTACAACCGTCTTGGCCCCAGTGGTGTTGCTGGCTGTAGTGGCGTAGGTGTAGGTGAGTTGGGGGATGAGGATGGTGCGCTTGGTGGTGGTGTTAATGGCACTGAGGCAGCCCACTGTACCCTGACCAGCAATGGCCACTAGAGTGGGCAACTGTGTGGCAGAGACGATGTTGACGGGGTTTCCAGCCTGAGGCGTGGTCACGTAGATGGTTCGACCCCCGACCTGTTCCTTCCTCAGGCAGGTCAGGTTCAGAGGACGCTCCTGCTGTTTGGTGGGTGGGGCGGGTTTGTTTTCTGATGGTGCCGGGTTTTGTTTGGGGAGAGAAAGGTCCAAGGGTTCTGCCTGGGAGTCTATAGCCTCTGGGTCTTCAGGCTCACTTTTAACGATAACAAGATCCTCGTTGGTGAGACTGAGTGATGCTGAGTCTGTTGGGGAGGCTCTGCCAGATACAGAGTTGATGGCTTCCTCTTGGGTGGTGCCTTCTTCATCATCTTCTTCTTCTTCAGTGGGATGCAACGAGTCTTCCGAGCTGGAATTTGTAACTTCAGTCTTTTCAGAAGCGTCTACATCCTCACTGTGGCATTTATCATCCTTTTCCCCAGTGTTCATCTTGGCAAACCACTTACTAACCACTTCCACTGGAATACTGACCGACTCTGAGATCTTCGTCATCTCCTCTTCGCTGGGATTGGCATTGGAGGCAAAGTAGGTCTTGAGCAGGGACAGGAGGTCGTCTGCAGGCGGCTCCTCCAGCGTCACCCCTGCTTCGCTCAGCAAATCGGCGAATGATGGATCCAGAGCCGCAGAGTCCCCCACCTCACCGTTAGCTAGTTTGTGATGCTGGAGGTGCAGCGTCTCCAGGTCGTCCGGACACTCGTCACATAACAAACAGGTACCGGAGCTGCTGGGTTTGGGTGTCTGGGCTGACTCTGATATTTCAGCAGATGCTAGTGCTGCCTCCATCGCCTTGTCTTTAACAGGCTCTGCTTCCTTCTCTTTCTTGACAGAGAGGTCGGTTGCCTCAGGTATTGGGGGCATATCTGTTTTAGTGGGGGTGGGGGGTGCAGCAGCGGTCGTCATGACTTTAAGAGCTGTAGTCGGGCTGTTTTTGATAATAAGAGGTGTAGGCAGGGTGGTGGCAGCGTTGGAGGCTGAAGGGCTGATGCTGTAGTTGATGATTATTTTTGTAGTGCCGTCGTGGTCCACAAAGGCGGGCAGACTGAGAATTTGTTGCTGCGGCTGCTGGACCACAATTCCCTGCTTCCCCTGTGCCACCACCCCATTGGCTGAACCCAGCACCTGCCTGAGGATGTTCCCGTCCATCGCCACTTTGAGCACGCTTTGCAAGTCGTTCAGGTTGATGCTGACTGGTGACATCAGGCCGACTGTTGGTACGACCATAGCCACACCCTGAGGCAGGGCCGGGGCCGCAGCCGGCGGCGCTGCCCCTCCGTTCACAACTTCTTTACTATCAGCTGAAGCAGCTGGTGTGGCCATCACAGGCTTACACTCGTATTCCACAGGTTCTGATTTGATCTGGGTGACGGGCAGCTGCTCCTGGAGGGGCTTGCTTTCAGTCTTTTCTTTAAGAATCATCCGGGCAGGAGCTATTGCAACAGGTTTAGTTTGTGTGGTTGGAGATGAGGGCTTGATGGCTGTTACAGTCACTCCGTTGGGGGGCGTCACCCCCACACACTTCTTGCTACTGATATGGGAGCTGTACGAGCCCGAGTGGGAGAATCGCTTCTTGCAGTTTGAGCACTCGTAAGGTTTCTCACCTGGAAGAGTCCAAGAGAGAAATTATGGAAATCTTTTAGAACAAAACTAGATTAACAAGTTTTAAACTGACAATTCAGTTTCATTAAATAATAATAATAACAATAATAATAACAATAATAATAACAATAATAATGTGTTATGTGTTGTCACTTGTCATCATTGTATGTTCCCATGCAATGGTGAAATTGGCTTTCTGCATTTAACCCATCCACCACCAGGTGGAGCAGTGGGCAGCTATTGAACATGTGCGGGAAGCAATTTGGGGATAAGGTGTCCTGCTCAGAGACACCACAACATGTGCAACGACTGGGGATTGAACCTGGGACTTTCGGGTCCCGAGTCGACTGTCCTGCTTCTACCCCATTTATTTGTATGCTTTAAGTTTACCACATAAAGTTTTTATTGCCATACAAATCATTATATCTATTTCTATATTATCCCCCCGCTGCTGAAGGCGCATGCCGAGTAAGAACCACCAAACCAGTTTTATTCAAACTTCTCCAGAGCATTCAATGGTCAAACATTTCAAACTCGTGGACTTTTGGCATCGTTTAAGTTGTTGACACAACAAAGCGATATTTGCCAACACATTTCTACAACTTAAGTCAGTTTTTCAGATATTGGTCTAAACTTCTGGTGTGGTGGTGTGGCGAACTGTCATTCGCATCACATGTGGTACATGGGGTGGAATGAAACTGTGTCCCCAAGGTCCAAGTTACACACAAAAATAGCTATAATATAAAATATTAAAAAAAAAACAGTATACAAGGATATAATATATACGCTAAACATTAATAATGTAAAATAATACAGTATATTAAGGTCTCAAGAAATCTGCATAACTTCCAGAAATGCTGAGCTCTCGCATCCTGATTGTTTTTGATTTATTAACTCAAAAACAAAAGACTAAAACCTTCCTTTGGAATCTTGTTTGCATGGAGGCTGCACAGCTGCAGAAAGAAAAGCTTTGCAGAGAGTGGTGAAGGCTGCACAGAAGACTGTTAGAGTCAGCCTCCCCACCATCACAGATATCTACATCTCCAGATGCAGGAAGAGGGCCACCTGCATCATGAAGGACCCCACTCACCCAGCACACACTTTTTTTCCCACTCCCCTCAGGAAGGAGGTTGAGGAGCATTAAGTGTAGAACCAGTAGACTGAGGAACAGCTTCTACCCTGAAGCTGTTAGACTCATGAATCTCTAACCAGAACAATCACTGTGAAGATTCAAATCATGTTGCTGCTGATCTGTTTCATGCTGCTGCTGATCTGTTTCATGTTGCTGCTGATCTGTTTCATGTTGCTGTGTTCATGCGTGCTCATCTGCTCACACAGACTCATGTTCGTGCTGCTGTTCGACATAAAGTTTTTATGCTATTAGTGCTTAGAGTACATTTAGTTGATGTGTTTCTTAGTTCATATCTTAGATGTTATTACTGTTTTTCTTCTACATGTTATTGTTGGACGTAACTGGGACCCTGTGTACATAATCTCGTTCCACCACATGTACCACATGTGGTGTGAATGTCAACTCAATCTCTCTGACTCTCATTACCAAAAACAACAAACAGATTGATGAAATGCCTACAATATCCTGATGGTGCTCAATAATTAGGTAGAAAAATCTAACAAAGTTCAGTCAGGTCCTCTGGACGCATTCTTCTTGTTGAAACGTTTCACCTTTTATCCAAAAGACTTCTTCAGCCTGAGGAGCTGCACTAAACTCTGTCTTATAAGCAGCACCTTCTCATAGTGGATCAACCAGTTTGCTGCTCACATCCAGAACCAGCTGTTCACATGAGAAAGGACCATCAGACTAATTAGTTCCCTGATGGCCACTTGCTATTCACAGAGGACAGTGATACTTGCAACAACAGAGGGGGACAGTTGGACACGGAGGCCTCCGCCTGTTTAACGGTGGACAGCTTCTCTTCCCTCACTCCTCTCAAACCAGCGGACCTGACTGAACTTTTTTAGATATTACCTACCAGTTTCAAAACCTGCAGCTCAAACAAACTGGTGATGATGATCGCTCTGCTACAAACTGGGAGTGACCGTATGAGCAGCTGCAGGTGTTGGTGACGCTCACCGCTGTGGATACGCAGGTGCTCCTTCAGATGGTGTTTGTATTTGAAGGCCTTGGAACATTCGGTACACTTGAACTTGCGGGTTCCACCTGTTCCTCCCGATCCTGCGGTTGACTGGGAAATGTGACGCTGGGACAGAGAAGAGGAGAGGCGTGACATGCAACAGAAACCGATGCCTGCTGTCGAGCTGGTTGCTTTCAGCTGGATCAGCGGGACAGAATTCAATTAAACGATTTAGACGTTTCGTCAGGTTCAGTCAGAAACAGAGATTTTTAAAAACCAGTCCCGGTTCGCGGGACGTTAAAGCTGACTCTGGTCTCACGTTGGCGCCTCGTGGCCTCGTTAAAACGTGTGAGTCGACACCTTCTGGGTGGGGGTGTTACCTGCTCCCTGCTGCCCCGGTGGTGGCTCATGTGCCTCTCCAGCTGCGAGCGGTACGTGAAGGTGTAGCTGCAGTGTGAGCAGCTGTAGTTGTCCTCGCTGGTCTCGTGGCGATACTTAATGTGCTCCTTCAGCGAGGCGTTGCGTTTGTAGCCCCGGGAGCAGTACGGGCACGTGTGCAACTGGGAGAAGGAGTCAGGTGTTCCTGTGGAAATAAAACCAGAGGCGTTCACCACAGCGCCAAGACTTTAATGTTTGCTCCGGTCGTCTTGTTACTTTCTCAGCCACTTTCGTTTTTACATTTTATTTTGTTGTTGACAGTAAAACTCTTGGTCGACCCCAGTTGTTTTAAATTTAAATCAAACTGACACCATATGGAGTTGTTCGTCCTCGATTAGATTCTTCTCGTCTGCAGTCGCCTCTGAATGCATCGTTTGAACCAGAGGCAGTCGCCTCTGAATGCATCGTTTGAACCAGAGGCAGTCGCCTCTGAATGCATCGTTTGAACCACATTATTCACTAGAGTTGGTTAAAAACAGTTTTATCCTTCAGGAGCTGAAGCCGTGCACTTTAATTTCTTTAAGGGATTTTAAACATGCGATAAGGTCATAAAAAAAAAATTAACTGAATAAGTTCTTGTTTTTAGTGTTTTACCTTGATTTGTATGGCACCTTGATTTAATTGCTGTTATAATACTACTTTTTATTGTTGTCTGTACTTTACAAGTTGTCTGTCTCTTTTTAAAAACGAGTCCTCGTGACTCAAAGACACTAACGTGTAGAAATAAAGGTTGAATGAAAAAGTGTTTTCAGTATTTGAGACTTCCTGTCACTTTTACTTTTGGTAAAAATTAACATTGAAAATGCTTTATTTTAAACATGTTTAAACACTAACTCAACTTTATTTTGATAAATTAAAAACATTACAAAAAAGGAAAACAATATACCCTGTTCATAATGATAAGTACACATACAGGCATTTACAGTATATTTAAATACGCATGTATATAATACAAACACATACTCACATTACATACAAACATGGTTACACAACACATATATATACTTTGTACATCTACACAGCAGTTTTGTAATTTTACATTTTAAGGCTCTTTTAACGCACAAAGCACATCGTTTGAGCTCATCATCCAGTTTCACACCGAGAACTGAAATACATCTAGATTTTACTTTACTTTTCTTTATCTTGTTCAAATATTAACAAACCTCGTGAATTATATTTACTCTCTCTTAACTTAAATCATTTCTGAATTCCAGAAGGAAGACTTTCATTCAGTGCTTTATACATTATTTCCAGTATATTTATATCAACAATGCCATTTAATGTTAAAGTATTACTTTGAATAAAAAGTTTATTAGTCGGTTCACAATATTCCACTTTATTAATAAGCCTAATTGCTTTTTTTATAATTTTATTTGCATTTCTCCATATTTCTGAGCAATATGACAAGTAGGGCATAACCAAGGAAGAGCATATAAAATTTAAGTCATTTATTAAATCTTTTATTTTAAACTACATCAAATAAACTAAACAAAGTATACATAAATGATTAAAATAGCTCATTTTATACGTATATTTGGAGCTATATACACATATGCATGTGAACAGAAGTCCAAACTACAAGCTGCACGAAGTTAAATTAAATTTCTTGTTGGGAACTCCAACAGTTTGATGATTCTGAGTTCATCAGAGGATTTATGTTTAAACAATGAGACAGAACTTGTTTTATGTCTGTATTAATATTTTCTATTGTTTTATTAAAAGCCTCGACTTTTATTTCCTGGATTAAAGGATTGTTTGTGAAGGCAACAAACAGCCTAAACAGCAGAGCGAACATTTACTCCAAGATGAGTGGGTTACAGCGGGGGACGACTTTTTCTCGCAGGATTTCACCGAAACGCCTCCGTGAGGATTTTAACGTTCCACGGATGAAAACTAGACTTTGTTCTGCTGAAAGACAAAATTAAAAAGGTGTTTACAAGACATACAGTATATGAACTTTGATGTGCATTAACAGTTTTTTATTTACTAATTTAGTTGGTTTTTTCTGTGTTCCTTTGTTTTTTTAAATTCAGTATTATCATTAGTGTGTTATTTTTTCCATTAATTTTATTCTCATTGACGTTGTTGTTGTAACAGCTTGTTTTAAATGTGCTCTATGAATAAAGTTGATTTATTCTTTAATTATAAATCAAATTTATTATTTTATTTAGAAAAACTGTGGTCATGGTTGAGGTGAACGTGGACTGATAAAGGTATTATCATTTAAATCAAATGTTATTTCTTTATTTCACAAAAAGTGTCGTTTATCACGAACTCTCTGCTTCTTGGATGAACTGCATGAGCTCACATGGCGTGTAAAAGTTTTAATCCATTTCATAAAATGCACACAAAGCATAAGTTAGTGCACAGATTTAGGTTAAAAGCTATTATAAAAAGCACAATAATTGTCTATTTATGAAAATAATAAAATAGAGTAAGGGCATTTTAAGTATTTCTCCTAAGCATCGTTTTACTGGAAAAGACTCTAACATTAAATGAATCATCTCAAACTCCTAACTCTTTCCTTTAAATTGTCTTTGAGTCAGCAAGAAGTAACTTGAAAAAACAAATTATCTTCTTTAGCTGTTTCAGTGGCTCAAACAAAAAGTCAAACATGAACAGAATTAAAATAAATTTATGACTCGTCGTCCACAAACCGAACGGTGCTTTGTTACCGTTTTCATCAGCGTTTCCCGTCTCTGCTGGACTCTGCTCGTCTTCAGGTGCTTCGGGATAGATGATGGCCGTGTCGCCCTGCTGGAGGATCTCCTCCACCAGCGTATCCTTCACCTCCTCCTCCTCTTCTGACACGCACTCCTCCTTCACTGGAAGCACAGACGCACAAAGGTGAGGATCATCTCTTCAGACGAGCTCCATGAACGCAGCAGCAAGACGAGGCGCTACATATATATATATATATATATATATACACACATATATATATCACTTTTTATATCATTCGTTTCTAATTTCAAGTATTAATCCTACAAACAGTTTAAATGTAATATTTTTACTTGATGTTTTGAAGGACCACCACTAGAGGGAGCTACAGGACTTCTGATATTAAAAACTGTGATGAACTTCTGTTTATTCTAAAGATTCAACATATATATTTTAGATAATTTAACAAAGATTTATTGTCAGTAAACCTAATATAATCACAACATGTGAAACTTTCAAGAAAGTCAAGGATTTACAGAAGAAATGTAAAAAAAAAATAAAAGAATAGACCAAAGGCTATCAAAAGTAATCAAATATGATAAAACTACAAAGGTAACTTTATCAATTATTAACTATTACATATTGAATTAATTATTATAGCAATCAAATAATGACTCAAAATCACATTTCAATATAAAACAATGCAGACTTTTTTTAAAACCACACATGGAAAAGTTTATTTTTAACCCTTTATTTATCCATTAAGTCTCATTGAGCCACGAGAACTCATTTTCAAGAGAGACCAGTTTAGGGAGCAGATTGGGGGGGGGGGGGGGGGGGGGGGGGGGGGGTTAAGGGCCTTGCTCATGGGCTCAGGGTGGGGCGAATGAAGGTGGAGGCAGGTGTGGATGTTTCACCTGTTTCACCCACATTTTGATGTACGGGGAGTTGATCCTGCGGCTTTCTGATGACAGGCCCACCTTCTCTAACCTCTGTGCCACCACTCCCCCAATAATAAATACATAACTCTCCATATCACTGCTCACTCTTCTGACTTTTTAAAAGTGTAAATTTAATTTGACGTGCAAAAAGAAGAAAAATAAAATAACCCCCCCGGCTTTGCAGACCTGCTGTCATCGACACCAGCGGTTCCCAAACTCAGGGTCAGAACCCCGAGAATGGGTCAGAAACACCAAGAGACATGCTCTGAAATCAAATTAAATTTAGCAATGGTTGCTATTAGCATAGTTTTCTCATAAATGTAGTAAAACATAGAAAAGTGAAGCCATAAATCAGCACGGTGGATCAGTTGGTAGAGCTGCTGCCTCTCAGCGGGAAGGTCACCGATTCAAATCCCGGCCCCGGGGCCTTTCTGGGTGGAGTTTGCATGTTCTCTCCGTGCATGCGTGGCTTTTCCACTGGTACTCCAGTTTCCTCCCACAGACCAACAACATGCACGTTGGACTGATGGAAACTCTAAACTGTCTCTGGGTGAGAGAGACTGAATGGTTGTTTGTCTCATTTGTCTCTCAGTGTCCCTGTGATGGACTGGAGACATGTCCAGGGTGTCCCCCGCCTCTCCCACAGGGACTGCTGGATATGGGCACCAGTGACCTTTGCGACACAAAAAGGAAGAAGCGTGTACAGATGATGAATGGATGGAAGCCACAAATGGATACAAATATAAAAGACGTGCGAACGTCAAGGTCTCAAGTCCCGGCTGCAGGGACGTCGTGGATCCAAAGGTGGAAAGTGAGGGAACCGCTGCGCTACACGACTTTTTTTTCTGTTTATAATAAAGGAAACCAGTTCAAGTCAGAAACAGAACAGGGAGCTCAGCAGCTCTCAGGCTTTACTGTTGGGGTGTGAGGACAACGTTGTAAAGACAGATCGCGTCAGAGCCTTCAAGTTCTTCCAAACACGTGATGAGAAGCAGCTGCGTTTACAACTTGTTCACCGTGATGAGGTTTTGATTCCTGCTGGAACATTCCAGTAACAAAACCAGTCAAAGCCACTCAGATTCCAGATACGTGAGCGATTTGGGCACCTTTAAAAAATGGCAGGAACTTGTAGGAGGCAGAACATCAAACTTTACCCAGTGCAGTTTTATAAAATGCAGTCTGAATAATTAAACAGGTCAGTTAAGCCTGTCGTGATAAACAATACATCAATTAATCACATTATTAAAATGATCAACCTCATTTTCATTTATCGGCTTTACCGTTTCTTCGTGTCTCTTTCTACTGAAGACACTGGATGATGAAAGGTTCAACTCCGGCGATCTTCACTGACCCCTCCATTTCTCTTTTCTCTTTAAAATCTGCTTTAACGATCCAAAATCACGTTTTTGGATCGTTACAAGCAGCTAAACTGAGAAGCTAAGCTAACAGGTCGACCTCAGGGAAAACAAACTCCGTCTTGTCGAAGCTCCATAATTCACGATTTAAACCCGTGCCTTCGTGTAAAAAGTTGTTTTCTCTGCAAAAAGAAGCTGAGAACTTGTTTACTGATTTTTTTATTAAAAGCTTTGTGAGACAAATGCTTAAGAGCTCAAACCACACAGAGCGTCTGCCATTTTGAGAATTAAAAAAAACAAAAAAAAACAGACACGATGCTCACTCCCTCACTACCCATCCTTTGGTTTAAACAGTCTTTTGCTGCCATCCAGTGGTCAAAAAGGTACAACACTCAAAATAAATTAACCAACATTTCTTCTTAAATTTGACAATAATTACTATTGTCAATTTCAAACAATATTATCGTGTATCGCAATAATTTCTGAGACAATTAATCGCCCTGAACAATTTGTTATCGTGACAGGCCTAAGTTCAGCCTGTTCTTCAGTAACATTGTAGATAAGGTTTTTTTTTTTATCTATGTACTGTTTACATTCTACTTTTCCTGTGAACAAACTGAAATTAGGGGTGCACCGATTGCAGTTTTTCTGGCCGATCACCGATTTCTAAAAAGTCTGAGCTGCCGATTCTGATTTTGTTTAATAAGCGACTCAGGTGTTATAAGGTCACAGTGCAACTTCAATTTTCCAATAATATTTTGTTGTAAAACAAACCCTTGAACAATCCTAGAAACAATACAAACATGTTTTAACTGGCCATGAGGTTGTGCTCTGAAATATAAATGAAATTCAGACAATTGCTGTTAAAACTAAATAAAATCGGTGTCTCATGCACGTATCGGCCGATTTATTGGTGCACCCCTAACTGAAATCATTTTACATTAAGAGCCATCTGATTTTTCAAACCTCACACATTGTTCAAAATATGAGCGCAACAAGAATTTGATGACCACCTGTGGTACCGAGTTAAAGTCTAAATAATCTTGATGAACCCAATATTTACATTTATATGAACAAAGATATAAACGCAACACTTTTGTTTTTGCCCCATTTTTCATGAGCTGAACTCAAAGATCAAAGACGATGAACACAAACGAACCTTTTCCCTCAAATACCGTTCACAGATCTGAGTAAACCTGTTCGTGAGTAGACGATCCATCCACCTCACAGGTGTGGAGTCTGAAGATGCTGATCGGTCATCATGATTATTTCACACGCCCTCAAACATCGGTGGCATTGTGCTGCGATAAAACTGCACATCTTCGAGCGGCCTTTTGTTGTGGTCAGCCTAAGGCACACCTGTCCAATCAGCATCTCGATACGCCACACCTGTGAGGTGCATGGATTATCTCTGCAAAGTGCTCACTAACAGATTTACACAAATTTGTGAACAATAGCTGAGAGAGAAAGTTATTTTATGTCCATAAGAGTTGAGCTCACGAAAAATGTGAGCAAAAAGAAGTGCTTTGCTTTTTTGTTTGTTTTATTATTTTATTTATTATCGACGTCGTCGTTTCCATGTCGGGATCTGCTTTTTATACCTGCGGCCTGGATAAGACTCGGGGTTTGATCCAAACTGAGGTCCGTGAGGTGAGAAAGGAGCTGGCGCAGACATTACTTCACTTTCTGTGCATAGAAACGCTGATAAGGACGAGCAGCAAGGTGAAACTGTGACCAGTGTTGCCATGGAGACAAAACATTTTCAGCGCAGGCGGGACTGGTGCCAGAGGCCACGCCTCTTCCTGCTGCGTGGCGTGAGAGGCAGGTGCAGCCGTGTGCTCCCACAGAACCAGTCCTGAACTGGACTCAGCGTCTCTTCATGACCGGGCTCATCATCACGTTGTTACGGTTTGTCTCTTCAAGACAGAGAAGTCTAAAAACAGATCAACCGGTCTGAGCTTTGCACGGATGACGTCATTGTTGGAAAGCAGAGCAGCTGAGCGCAGATATACACCAATTGTTTGTTTGTTTGTCAACAAAGTCAGGACAATGTATAAAACGTAAATAAAAACAGAATGCAACGATTTACAGATCTCTTAAATCCATGTTTTATTCACAATGAGCTATAAACATGTCAAATGTTATTAATAAGGAACGATACGATTTGAAAAAACATTTTTAAATTGGGATTTGTCAGATCACAGTACAGTTTTCCACGTCGCTTCAGTTGATCTTAAATTAGTTTTGGCCCAAAGACGACAGCCGGCGTGAACACCAGGATTTTTAACTGCATAGCTTCAACCACATTTGTCCAGAACAGAATCAGACCTGTTTTGATTGTAGCGCCAGAAGATTACGACCACCCAGTACTGACTTTAAGCCTCGCCCTCAAGATTTCTCCAGATTCTTGAAATCTTCTGGCGACATCAAGAACTGTAGATGATGGGATATTCAACGTCTTCTCAATTTCCCATTAAAGAACGTTTTTCTTTCACTACCTTCAGACGTAGTTTTCTACAAGCTGGTAAACCTCTGCCCATCTCTACTTCTGACAGACTCAGTCTCACTAAAATGATTTTTCTAATTGGCCTGTTAATTTAACAAGTTGCAAAATGTTCTTTCAGCTGTTTTCTTTTTTATTCGTACCACTTTGACAGACTTTTGTTGCCTCTGCTGCCACTTCTTTAAAATGTGTTGCTGCCACCAAATTCAAAATGAACATTTTCCCCCGGAAATTGTAAATTTTATTAATTTAAAAATCTGATATGTTTACTGTGACCTACTGTAAAGAAAATATGGGATTATGAGAGTTGTTAATCATTGTATTAAGTTTTTATATGTATTTTATAAAACAACCTTTTAGAAGTCTGGATTATATTATTTAATAAGAAAACGTATCGATATTTTCTTAACTTAAATAAACATTTATTGAACAACTTCTGATTCCTCGTCTCTGGCTTGTTGTTTGAAACTACGATTGAGCTGCGTTCGTTTTGTTTTTTCAGTGTGAATAAAGAATGTTAGCAGTGATGACACAACAGGAAGTTTTAAAGTATAACCTCTTACTAAAATAGTGTATTCTTTAGGCCAAAGGCAGATTTAAGCTTCATTCAGCAGCAGCTGAATTAGGCCTGTCACAATAACGCATTTTGTTTGGTGATTAATTGTCTCAGAAATTATTGCGATAAACAATAATATTGTTTGAAATTTGACAATAATTAGTAATTATTGTCAAATTTAAGAAGAAGTGTTCATTTGTTTTTGTGTGTAGTACATTTTTTTGACAACCAGATGGAAGTATAAGATGGTTTGAGCTAAAGGATGGATAGTGAGGGAGTGAGCAGCGTGTCTCTTAATAAAAATGGGAGGGAGGCCCCTCGACATGAAATGGGCGGTCTCTCCTTCCTTTCTTTTGTTTTCAATATGGCGGACGCTCAGTGTGGTTGGAGCTCTTTAGCATAGCATTTTTCACGCAAAGCTTTTAATAAAAAAAATCAGTAAACAAGTTCTCAGCTTCGTTTTGCAGAGAAAAACAACTTTTTACACGAAGACATGAGTTTCAACTGTGAATTTTGGAGCTTCGATAAGACGGAGGTTTTTTCCTCAAGATTGGCCTGTTAGCTTAGCTCGTAGCTTAGCTTCTTTTAACGATCCAAAAACACAATTTTGGACGGTTAAAATGGATTTTAAAGAGAAAGGGAGGGGTCAGTGAAGAGCACCGGAGTTGAGCCTTTTGTCATCCAGTGTCTTCAGTAGAAAGAGAGAGACAAGAAGAAACGATAAAGCCGATAAATGAAAATGAGGTCGATAATTTTCATTTATCACGAGATTAATTGATTTATTGTTTATCGTGACAGGCCTAGCCGAATGCAGTTTAGCTCCAGGTTCTTTTCTTATTCATCAAATGAACAAAAGTGCCATAAAAACAACATATGCATTCTTCTTTTACATGCGCTGTTAACTCAACCTTTTCACGTTCACTACTTTTCTCTCTTCCCCTTCTCCTCCTCCTTTTTGTAAACATGTATTTTTCCCTCCATCTTTAGTTTCTCTCCAACTTTTTAAACATCTGTCATATTTCATCACCCTCCCTCCGACTCCCACAGTCTCATTGGCTACACCTCTCTGCATATTTTCCCACAGCACTACACAATTACACTTAATGCCTCACAAAAAGAGCTACGCACTAATGACGACCAGAACCCAGCGACGCACACGCGCTGTGAAATATCAGAATGGAATGAAAACAGGAAATCCTGCGGTGCACGCACATACACACTCAAATATATCTACTCACAGCGCACACAGCAGAAGAGCCATGCAGCCTCAACACACACACACAAACGCTGCGCTCGTATACCTTGCCAAAAGTGTCAGTGTGAGTCCGTGGTAAACGTATAAAGACGGGATGAATTGGAGCTGCAGTGCAGCCCAGACTGCAGGGGGAGTCACGCTCACTAATCTCTCACCAGTTCAACACCAGCTGCTCTCCCCTCGCCGCAGACGAAAGAAAAAAAAAAGTCAAGACGATCCAAAAATACCAGCCGAAGGTGTCCGAGAGCTCCCACTGTGGTTTTACAGCGCAGCAACGCTTCACGACTTTTCCATGACTTCTCTCCAGAACTCCTGCACGAGCTAAAACTGGAGCGGCTTCCTGGTTTGTTAATGTTTTCCTAGAAGGACGACGCAGGCTGATCTTTACTGCTGCCGCAGCTGAAACACTTCAGGTGCTGCCACAAACACAACGTTCATTCAACCTTTATTTAGACGGGTCGCTCCCGTTGAGCCTCGGGGAACTCGTTTACAAGACCTGATTCTAACAGAGTGATGACAACAGTGGACAATCATGAAAAGCATACAAATTGAGAAGAATAAAAGAAAATGGTATTTAAAAAGCTTAACAAAAACATCTAGGTTGTCGGGCGGTGTAGAAAACTACAAACGGGAACATGTCTGCGTTGGTTTTTGCCATGAACTTAACAGATGATTGAAGCCACTTAGAGAGGTCAGGGTTGAGAGCTTCAGGTCTTTTTGTAAGATATTCCAGGAAACAGGAGCGGAGTAGGAGAAGGCCCTTTTGCCAACAATGGTGTACCACAAGGCTCAGTCTTAGGACCCACCCTCTTTACAATCTACATATGTAATGTTGGCAAGGGTGTCAGAAGCATCCGTAATGTGGGGGGGACACAATGATGTGTGTAGGTGTGCGTCCAACAATGAGGGAACACTGCAGGTAATAATGTCCTGAGAGCGCACGCTGTAGCTGCACTCACGCAGAGACATGTAGGAGGAGAAGTATGAAGGCAGCAGACCAAGAAGTGACTTAAAGATGAAAATGTACCAGTGAGAGAGTCTGAGTGAAGTTAATGATGTCCAGTTAAACAGTGAATACTGGGTGCAGTGGTGAGTACGGTAGTTATGAATCTTAGAGCACCGTGATAGACACCGTCCATCTGCAGGGTGCTTTCAGCTTAGGTTCAAATTACCTGAAGGTCTCCAAAGAAAAAATAAAACTTTAGCTATTCCCAGAAGCATCTTTAACTTCGATCACCAAAGAGAAGTGTTTGCAGAACGATAGCAGGAGACAGAACAGAAGGGGGAAAGCACAAATCCTGTTAGAAAGACGTTCCAAACTGAGGAGTAACTTTTTGTAAAAACGTACACAGGAGAGAAAACTGAGCCGAAAGACGGAGCGTGTTGGAGAGCGAGCAATGCACGAGCACTGCTCGCTCCATGTAAGGCTTCATGCAGCAACAATGAAGCGTGCCTGGAGAGCAATGTCACATTCTCGCCGTCTCCATGGTTTTAGCATTTCCTGCTCGGCTTTAACTAACTGCTGCCGAGATGAAGGCAGATGCTGGAAGTGTTGGAGAAGACCTGAGGATTAAAACGCCACTGAGAATCGGTGCAAACACAAAGCAATCAAACTTTCCGTTCAATGCTGTGCTTGTTAAAGCTTGTGCATGACCGCTGCTTTGTTTGCACTTTTTAAAGTGCGTTCCTAAATAAGTCCTAGAACAGGTAAGTACTGAAAGTATAAGAAACTATTTGGGAAGAGTTTTTTATTCTTTAACAGAAAAACTAGAGGATAAAAACAGATTTCAATTAAAGGCCAGCGCTCCTGGAGGGAAAGTATTTCACCCACAGAGATTTGTCAACAAACGTTGACTGAACCGTAGTCGTTTTGGTCAAACCTTAAAATAATGTGCAATCCTCTGCAATATTGTGACATGTGACACTCAAACTGTGTATTGTGAAGGACTCTAAGCTACTACCACACCAATTAATTCAATGTTTGTAAATGTGACTGAGTTGTTGCAATTTTTGTGTTTGCTAATGTCAGGATGGACTCGAAAAGTGTTCACGCTGTGGTTGACTGCTCCTTCTTCAGGGGTCGCCACA